GGTAAAAGGAAGGATGTTGGAAAGTGCTCAAATTTTCCGCAATCAATTCTTAAAGGGTAGTTTCCTTCCTTCGATCTCCTCCCCGAAGCCCGCCCCGAGTAAGCCCGCCCAACCGCATCCCTTGCCGTCGATCTTCGCCAAGAACCTGTTGGTGTTGTTTTTTACCCCCTCTCATTCTCTCTTGTCTAATTTTGGAAAAAACAACGATACTTTGATTGATACGAGAACAAATTTATTTTGACATAATTGTCTTATTTACAAGTTTGATTAATGGACTCAGTTAACAAAGTTCCTGTCGGTGTAAGGGTGGCGGAATAAATTAAGATGAAAAATCTAGGACGCAAAGTTGACTTCCATGCTAATTGCTTTAATACTCGGATAATGTTCACCGAGCGAAGTTGATCCGATAAACTTTGTTAATCAAGGGATTGCGTTAAAATTCCCTTTGTCATCATGGTCATGTTTGTTGCGCCATTTTAAAGACGAGCTAGAGCAAAGTACCGGACAGGCGATGATTGTTGGGAAGGAAATGTTGTAGCTCAAGTTAAATATTTGAGAACAACACAGAATAAATGAGTTAAACGTTTTTAACAACTAAAATAATTATCTCAACATGCGGTCCAATAATGCGATGATTACATTGACACTTCCTCTCTGATACATAACATTTCTTAAATGCCTTAACATGGCAAGATGTAAGTATGTAATTTCACGGCTCTTTGAAGAATGCCTTCAGATCTCATTCATCTGAATTTCTTTGTTTGTTTCTTTTATCCATCATAGATGTTGGAATGGAGACGATTCAAGTGACCACTCAGCACTGATATCACTTTTTTTAAAAGTGATTGAGCTATCCTTGGTCATTTGGTCATCGTTGTTGGACCGTTGGACCATCGGTTACGTGAAGCAACGACCGACGGCAGACGACAAGGCAAACCCGATACCGTTGAGGAGTATCGGTGTTAAATTTTCGCGCCATTTCCCGCTCTCTTTACACCAACGTCGCCTCATCACCGATCGAGAGATGGAGGCTGGACGAAGAGTTAAGTGAAGGGAATTGAAATCGTTCAACCCCTGTATTTATCTCCCCCTGCCTGCCCCCCCCCCCCCCTTTTTTCCTCCTCCTCCTCCCTCTCTCTCTCTCTCTCTCTCTACCTCTCTTTCTCAATCTATCTCATTGTCTTTGTCTGTCCCTTCCCCTTTATTGTATTGATATTCAGCTACCTTTTATCTCTGACTTTAGCTGTTTTCAATTGGCTATTTCTCTCTCCCTCTCTCTCTCTCTCTCTCTCTCTCTCTCTCTCATCTATCTATATACAATATTATATATAAATATAACCCAAAAAAATCCATTTGGATAATCCTCCATCACGGTAATATCACAATAATGATTTAAAAGTTGTTTCATTCATTATATATACATATATACATAATTTCTTTCCTCCCGCGTCCCCCGTCCCCCATTTCCCCTCTCTCTCCTTCAATCAGTCTATCCCTTTCTCAATCAAGATATTGATGTATCAATCAGCTCTTATCTCTACTTTTTGCTTCGTTTTACTCTTGTCTATGTATCTCTCTATTTAGATACCTATCCATCTATCTTTCTTTCTCTCTACCAATATATATATATATATATATATATATATATCTTTACTAACTTCTTTCCTTCTTTCTTTCTTTCTGTCTGGACAAATAACCTTTCGATTTACCTCTTACAGCAACCTCTCTTTCTCACTTTAACATCCTCACCCAACTTTTTGCCATTCTGTCCGCCCATTTAAATCTATTAATCTATTATCCATCAATCTATCAATCTATCAATCTATCAATCTATCAATCTATCCATCTATCAATCTATCAATCTATCCATCTATCCATCTATCAATCTATCAATCTATCAATCTATCAATCTATCCATCTATCAATCTATTAATCTATCCATCTATCAATCTATCAATCTATCAATCTATCCATCTATCAATCTATCAATCTATCAATATATCCATCTATCAATCTATCCATCTATCAATCTATCAATCTATCCATCTATCAATCTATCCATCTATCAATCTATCCATCTATCAATCTATCCATCTATCAATCTATCCATCTATCAATCTATCAACCTATCCATCTATCAATCTATCAATCTATCAATCTATCAATCTATCCATCTATCAATCTATCCATCTATTAATCTTTTAATCTATCCATCTATCAATCTATCCATCTATCAATCTATCCATCTATCAATCTATCCATCTATCAATCTAACCATCTATTAATCTATCCATCTATCAATCTATCAATCTATCCATCTATCCATCTATCAATCTATCAATCTATCAATCTATTAATCAATCAATCTATTTATGTATCTATAAGTATACGTATTTTGTATCTATCTATCTATCTATCTAAATATATGTTTATCTTTATACCTATATAAATTATATGTCTATCTATCTATCTTTCTATTTCTATCTCTCTCGTTTTCTCTCTTTAATTTTGTTCTCTCTCGCTCTGTCTTTCTGTCCCCTTTTGCTACCGCCAAATCAGGCGTATTTCCGGCGGCATCGCGTATGTGTAACCCTACCTCCCGTTCGGCTCTTAATAAAAGATTTTTTCCTTCTTATTCGTCTTCTTCTCCTTCCTTTCTCTGATATTGTCCCTCTCCTCAGACTTTTCTTGAACTTCTTCGTGTAAGAGAATCCTTACCCATCTACAGGAGATGGCCTCTCAATGATGTCCTCGCTTTCATCAGCATACTTCTCTATTTTGTTTCAATAGGATATCTTGTATAGGGGCGTCATTTCAATTAGACCATTTGCACGAGGTTTGTCGTGTTTGTTGGGATTTACATGGCGTGATTATCTGAATACTGAGAAATTACATTTGCCATCGCTATTAAGCTTCGTGTTTCCCCCTTTTCCATACAACTTTGAAATGTGAAAGTTGTACAGCCAAACATCCTTCTCCTAGCTCCTCCCGATCCCTCCTCCTCCTTCTAGTTGGTTAAATATTCTACTCGTGTTATAACTTGAAAAAAAAAAATCGGAATTTTCTTATAAGGCTTACACAAGCGCAAGTTTCGGAGAGACCGCCCCAACCTTTTAATCATGTTAGATGCAAAATGAAATGACGACATGAATTACGATAATTGTTTTAATTAAATTCACGGAGATAAAAATTGTCACTGATCAAAACCACCCCAATTTTCTTTTTGAAATGTAGACATGAATGCCCTCGATAATTATGTTGTTGAGGGTCTCTGCAGGGCATGTTCAAAATATGAGATTTACATAAGTGTTGCGCATTTTCTAGAGAGTGCCATGAATAAAATATTGTAAGAAATGCTCGGTTAATGAAGGAAGCAACGTGCTTTAGCTAGGTTTTCTCCTCGAGTACCCCGATATTAAGAGTAAACCTAACATTGAGCTGGGACATTGAGGCCAAGCGCATGATCCATGCCCGAGTTCAGGTCTTTATTAGTATTTGCTTAGCCCTCTCTCCTGGAGCGGGGTGCTCTCGCCACTTGCACGGGGCTCCGTCGGCCAATTAAGTCGGCGCGTGGCCGATACAATACCCCCACAATGTTTGGCTCTAAATCGAGCGAGAGAAGAAAAAAAGGGGAGAAAACATAATAGTGACCAAATCCCCACCTCAATCGACAAAGCTAAACTCTCCAATCCTATTCACGATTCTCGCTTTCCCGTCTTTTCTTCCTCTGTTTGAAAAACCGTACGGCCACTGAAACGATTTGCTTCCGACTTAGGCTCAACTTTTTAATAATCACAACTTACACAATTCACGCGCGTGGCAAAGCTAAGCTTTTCGTATTGACTGCCTCCCGTCTTAGACACACATACCATTGACAGGCCCGATCTCAACTAAAAGAACCCCTTTTCTTATCCAGTTTCCTGTCCAAGCTCTGTGTAAAGAATTTCCTTTTGGAGAGTAGCGGGATAATTTTGGTTAATTGACGCCGAGCCGGGGTAATCTTAATTTCATTTTGAAAGCACGGAAGCCTCTTGATAAGACAATATTAAGATCATCTTTTTAATACGGCAATTGAGAAGACCCAATAAGACGGTTTCTCACGCAGCGCTACAAACATCATCTGTAGACAGAGATAATATTATGTTTGAACCGAGTCATTTCTCGTTATCATTTTTTTTCTTCAAAAGATATCATAGAAATTATATTGATTTTCTAAAGTAGGCTATCTGAAATTGGATAGTCTGTCACGAGAAACTAACTGCTTACGAAGTAAACCAATTGTGCCGTATTGCCATAATGAAAGAGTCTTGGAAACATATTCAATCAGTAAAAAATTAAAAAGATCATTCAAGAATCATAACGTTCGACCCATAACTTTAGTTTTAATGCACACAATAATATCGTGGTTGGAAAAAAATATCCCATGTGGCTCAGTGGTAAGTACACGGTTATGGAAATTGAGGGGTATGGGTTCGAACCTATTCAAAGTGCTGCAGGATGAGCATCAATGTTGTCAAATACAAGGTATAAGTCACTCTTTCTCTGTCTGCTTTTCTATGCAAAACGCCACAGGTGAAATCAGATCCAATCCATACACGGAAAGCAGTCAGAAACTATACTTGGGCGGTTTCTTCACTTCCCTGTGATGAATGTCGTGTTTTAGAGCACAGGCACAGCAAAATACAAAAATGATAATAATAAGAGGTGTCAAACGAAACATTTTCTCTCCTCTGCCACTCTCCACCCAGGTGTTTAATGCGCGCGCATCACGTAGGATGCGAAAAAATGCACACACCTGTAAACTGATCGCATGTCCTGCAAGGGGAGTGGAGAGTGTATCAGTGGAGAATCGTAAGCAATGCAATCTAATCCAATGACACGGGTACATTATACTCTGAAGCGCTTTGATTAGTTATTTGATTAGTTACTTGTTTAAAACAAAAGTGGTGTTAGTAGTACCATCAGTTGAATTGTTATTTTGAATTGTTTTATCGTTTTACCTGTGCGAGGCATGCGGTGAACACTGTCAACAGTGGTAGTAGTGGAAGGAGGATAAGGAAAGGCTGACCCACCTACGAACAAAAATATGGAGGAAGATGGAAATTACTTCAATATGTTGGTGATAATAAAAACGTTACGTATTCTGATGACAGGTCTATCACCAGAGTCAAAATTATTGCTGTCAAGCTAAGTTTGATATACCATGAACTTTCCATCCTCAATCCTTCATCCATTCTCTCCCCCCCCCCCCGCCCTCTCTTTCTCTCTCTCTCTCTCTCTCTCTCTCTCTCTCTCTCTTTTCACTTATTTCTATTGATTTGTCTTCTTCTTCTTCTTCTTCTTCTTCTTTTTCTTCTTTTATTTCTTCCTCTATTTCTTTCTGGTTATGTATTATAAATCTTAATATATCATTAGTCATATAATATTATCATACGGTTATTATTAATACTATTATTATTATCATCATCATCATCATTATTACTATTTGTTTTGATTCCGCCCCCCCCCCCCCCCCCCCCTTCTCCTCCTCCCATCTTCCTCCAATCTCTAATTTTCTTATATATATATATATATAGCAAACGTCGAGAGAGGGCGTGCTCGTACATACCTGATGGATTCGTGTCCAGAGTGGTCTGATGGTCTGCAGTGTTGTATTTGTTGTCATCCAGATTGCTCTTGGCCCCTGGTGTATAACCTGCAGATGGGAATAAGGATGGGAGATAATTGAAAGGGAGAGTAAAATAAAGTGACATGGAGATGGAAATTAAAACTTATTTTAGAAAATTGAGGGCGATCAAGACAAAAGAAATCGACAACCAAGAAGAAAAGGAAGACAAAGGTGGAGGAGGAGGAGAAGAAGACGGAGAAGAAGAAGAAGAAATAAGAATATAATGAGGAAGAAGATTAAGAAGAAGAAGAAGAAGAAGAAACATTCCATATTCCCCAATAATGTAAAATAATAGATAAGGATTCTAATGTGATAACTCCAAAATCCAAAATACTAACTGATTCCAAATTTCCCCAGTTACGTTATAAATATTTGAAACATCTTTACATTTGGCATTCCCCTAATGTATCGATAAAAAAGCGCAGCAGGGATGTTTTACAGAAATGGGGTGGGTTTTTAATGAACTCGATGGAATTCAAGTATTGTAAGACATTCTATCAGCTCTGAGGATCTTGGCAGAACATTTGTTTGTTCTTGGAGTTTTCTCTGCGCATGGCTGTTGACCTCCATTAACCGTGTCACAAATCGATCTAATTTTTGTTCTTTCATAATTATCCATTTCAATTTTTACTCTTTTTTATATAAATAGTCATGATGATGTTCAGGTTAATCTACTGCGGATGTCTAATGACCCCCGGGGCTAATATGTTATATATTGCGCATGTGCGATGACCTACGTACCTTGAGAGGAGGGTGGGTTCCTCGGGCTGGGCTGCAGCGCTTTGTCTATATCATCTGACGTTAGATTAGGCAGTGGAGCTGCAGAAAATTTAGACAAAAATTGTAAAATTATAGATGAGTATGAAATCAAAAGGTCCATCTATAATTGGTCGGGTATAACGACTTAACGAGGGAAATTTGAATCAGCTAGTTTCGTACTTTTTTGTAATTGACTTATTCTTCATCTAGTAAAAGCCCATACTACGATTAATTATCATAAATTAATTGAAAAAGAAAATTAAAGTTGCAGAGCAAAAGAGCAAGAGAATATCAGCATGATCACGTGACAATTACCACCCAATACACTGAGACTTACTTGTAGTTCAAAGCTTCGAATCTAATGAGAGAATATTCATAGATTACAAAATATAATTCTGTCAACAAAACATTGAAATATTATATTTTTTATTCCAACGAGAAAGGTTCGAAGCTCCGATTAATTTGTCAAGTCTGTTTTGCATTTCAAACCAAAGAGCTTTAAATATGGTTACTGAGAATATGAAATGGTAATTTTTATTATCTAAATATAATGATTGAAGACATTGATATTCATGTGAAGGCTGTATTTTTGCCAACAGTATGCAAGTATAGTTGTATAATTATTAAATTAATTAATATTAAGTCAATAATAGCAAACAGATTCTGATTGCAACAGTCTGGTTAAAGCAAGAGATCAATGTAGAAATTTGAAATATCAAGCGCTAAAGCATGAACAAAATTAAGTAAACATAATCTAGCTGTGACTGTTTGATGAATGTGTCATCTTTTTACAGGTAAACATAAAACAAGATAAAACAAACGAACAAATCAAAGCAAGATTAGAAATAAAAATACAGCCCTCTCTCTTAATATGCAAAGGAAATTAAACCCTCGGTCATCTCAACACACCAAATTTGATTTTCTTTGATAGATACCCATGTAATAGCATGTCAGGTTAAACATGAACTTTATGAACTTCTCCCACACACTCTGCTCTGAAATCGATTCATCTGTCAAGTAAAAAAGTCATCGAGATTTATCCTTTTAACAAGAAAGAAGCGCGTGTAATTTTGATTTGAGCGCGCGTTTTTTCCCTCCCTTCTCAATAAGCGACGAGAGACGAGATTGTGATGTAAGTCATATCAATTAATTTCTAACCATAAGAGAGGGGGAGGGAGACGTTCGATAGCGCCGCTACTCGAGGGCCAACCTCTCAAAGAATGCGATTAATACAAATTTCGTCGGAGAAAGGCCACTTCTACTCCGGAGAAGTTATTGGGGGTAAGGTCCACTTTTTATGACACCTCCTTCACTTAAAGGTATTCCCCCTTATGTTAGCGATTGCTCTTGCCCCTTAGCTTCATAGAATTCAAATGACTGTCGCTGAAGCCAATGAAACAAGGTCATAAATATGTGGGCGTCAGACTGATGTTCAAACATTGTCGCAAAATGTCGCAATTTGTAATAATTTTAACATGAGTGCTTGCTTGTTTTTTATGAAAGGCCGTGTGTTTGGATGTAAATCGAGGCATATTATATTACGGCTGCCATATGTTTTATGATATTATGAGTCTGCCTTTGGATTTTCATGTAGAGAAATACATTTGTAATTAATTGTTGGAAGCCATCAAATTACTAAAAGCCTCTTCTTTCTATTCCATTTTTTTAATAACAACATTCAAGAACCATCCTTCAAACATTTAACGGATAAGGTCTGATGGACTTCATTATTGTGATCACGGTTCGACTTTTAAAGCAAGGCTGCCATCTACGGTATAACTGAAACACTTTGTTCAGATGTTGATTATAAAAAGCAGTTCATTGGTATAGAAAGTAAAGCACCCAATTTTTGAAATTGAGTTGTGTGCTATCGGCAATATTGTAGCATAATGTGTTCTGATATCTAAACCTCACATGAATTTTATCCAAAGATTATAACAAATCTTGCAATCGTTTTTTAAAAGATGTCTGACGCATGTAATGTTTTGAATTGTTTGCCTGCCTGATTGTTACCGAATATTCATGTTGTTCAATCATTCGGAATGCTCCAGCGTGATCGTACAAGACAAACGTTTTTAGAGCTAAGCAGTAGAGCGCCATCTATGTGTCACCTGCTATATAGGTTGGTTCTCTGCTTCAAAGCTGTACACTTCCCACTTTCAAAAGACTCCCTCAAAAATGAAAAACAAAAAAACGGATGGATTGCCAAAAATATATAATACTTAAATACTCTGTATATTATAGCGTATTATATGTTATGATTATTTAACTTGATAGTCAGTTTATTAATTTATATATGTTTTGTTCGTTTTTACTTGTTTCAAAGTGTCATTATAGGATGACTTTCAGAGACATTAGTTGATTTACAACGTGATCCTGTTGCTATGAATTTGTAATGTTAATCGTGTTTATAATAACGTATTGTAGCATTGTCATTCCTGCCTTGCAACAGCACTGACAGGGTGGATGGCGAAAGATTGAGGCACGAAAGTTTCATAAGAACTGTATCCAGAACTCGACCCTGGTGAAAAAAATAAAAGGGTATAGTTTTCTCTCTGAACATGCCACATACTCGTCTTGCGCAACGAAGGGCAATCTAACTTGTCTTCGAGGCTCTACCGTAAATCTCCCCCTGTTTTTGAGTACCCTTGTGGGGTTTAAAGATAAAGTCAGTTATGGTCACCAAATGCCGTTGTATAATTAACTGATTAGAGGTTTTGTGAAAACGTCGATTTTTCAGAACAAAAGAACGATATTGCATAATTATTGTAAATTTGTTTGGAATTAGCAAAATGACAAGTAACTTTTAATCAGTCTTGGAGAAAATCACAAAGAGTAGCAGGCACTGCACAACGATGCGGGTACATGGGACTAGAGGACAATTTGACATCCTTATTTGGTCCAAAAGAGTTAAACCATTACTACTAGTATTCATATTTGAAACTATGAGGCATTTCAAGGGTGTTATGATCCTATGGTATTTCATCCCTGGGGAAAAATTAATAAGCTCACCAATATTCTTTTTCGCCCTAACCAGAACTTAACCTTCTTTCTCCTTAAGAAGTGGGAGGGAAGTAGCTTGTTAGCGAAGCTTGTATTACGAGGCATCGTCCCGATAGATCCCTTAATTGCGTTCGTGACACGTACGGTAAGGCTAGGGGGATTTGGGCCGGGCTTACATGCAGAGAGATACACGACGTCCGGTTTAGCTAGACGCCATCTTGTTTTTCCTGAAACTTTCGCTTTTTCATCTCTTAATTAAACCGGTAATAACAACTGCTGTTTCTGTTCAGTTATGGAAATGCCCCTAAAATTGTATACATGTCAATGTGTATTTTGTAAGAGAAAAAATGTGGACAGCATTGGGGTAACGTTTAATCGCATGGAATCTTTAATCAGGGTGGTTTGAGTTGAGGGTGTTAAAGTTGGGAAAATAAGCCATCTGCTTGGTTGTGAGCTTACATTGTTGTGTGTAGGTCGACGCTAAGCCATAAATCATGAAAAGTCATGTGGATTTAAACCCAAAATTTACTGCTTTTAAAATTCTTATTCGTGGAACTTATTGATGTAAATGGACGGTAAGGAAATCGTTGTTAATACATCGAAACGTGAAAGAGGAAGAAACAGAAAAACAGCATTTTTCAAAAAGAGAAATTCAATGGAAAAGGAAGGAAACGGGGAAAAGTGACAATTACATTAGAGAGAGAGAGAGAGAGAGAGAGAAGGAGAGAGGGAAAGAGCGAGAAAGAGAACGAGGACATTTGAAGAATAGAACAAGAGGAAGGAAAGGAAACGGAAAGTGACAATAAATATAAACAGGGGACTCTGATATACACGGTTAAATGTCACTGAAGAAAGCAGCATGAGCGACAGTTACCCAGAAAAGACAAAGGCAGGCGAAGACGAAACAGAGGAAGAACTCAATGATCTGCCCCCTCCTCTACCCCCCCCCCCCCCTCCCATCCATCCTCCTTTAAGGTTAAAGTTGAATTCTGGTTACACGATTACATTATGAAAAAGAATTGTCTGGAAGCATTAGAGAAAGGTTAATTATGTATTACATGAGAACAGGTGTGGACTGTGAAGTTTTAGAATCATCCAAATTATAAGAAATTGATCAAAACTTGCTAGATGTTACATTTACTATACACACACCAAAATATGGGACTGTACAAGCATGTGGAAGGAGAGTTTGATCCAAGTCTTTTAGCCATTTCGAGTAATCTTTTGAATATGAGGGCATTTGCAGGGCAATCCTTTAGAACGGATGTTTCTTCCATGGTTAATCTTCAACAAATATTATTGTTCTGACCTTTCAAAAGATGAGAAAGCTCATAAACTTTCAATTTTTACCAGATCTCAACTTTTTCTTTAACCCCTTGTTGTCAAGATAGGTACCCCTATGAAGGATTATGATTACCGAGTTCCGATAAGCGGCTTCCTAATTAAGAGCGCTGAGCTATAGGGTCAATTAGAGCGTTCGCGGACACTTGGAAAACACGAAGAAACAGGTGAATGGCGTATCCCTCAAGCGAAGGGGAATAGGGGAAGCTAAGAGAAGGGGCGTCCCCCTTAAATTAAAAAATATATTATAATATTATTTCTCTCAATTTTATCGTAAAGCTTTACGAAATGAATGAAGTTATCGTTCTTTATATATCTGCAGAAAGGAAAAATGATGGTACAGTCTTGTAGAGACGAATATCGAAAGAGGGGAAGGGATAAGAACATGGTGATTTAGTGTTTTTTTAAGCTGTCATGGCTTTTAAAAATAAATTGATATGCTTATACATGTATATTTAACAATCTTCTTAATGGTAGAGTCCCGTGTTGTGACCGTTTTTGAAGGCGATAAAACGCCTAGAAAGTGCTTTAAATACATATGAGTTATTATGCAATACAAACCTCCTTTTCAATTTTGAAATCCTTCAAAATATATCAAAAGTCATCCTTAGTTATTACGAATTTCTTCAGCTGGCATTGTGAACTAAATGTATTCTGTGTCAGCAAAGAATGGTGTAGTTTCATTTCCCCCCGACCACCCTTTTTGAAAAATACATTTCACCTGGACACGCCCATTTGTAAACAACCTGTTGTCTTGTGCCCTAGCACCGGATCTCCATGATTCCCCCTAATCAAGCTAACTCCTCCCCCCTCGTTGTCTGGCTGTCTTTGTGAATAAGGGTTAAGCGACTTGAGGGGGTACGCGCGTGCTCAGGTGTGCTCTACCGCTGCCACACGCGCTCGACAGGTGTAAGTGACGGGGTCATGACCCGGCAGAGTTTCGGCGTGTGGCATGTGTCAAGGATCAACATAAAACCGAGTTTACTTTTTTTCCTTCAGATCAACTGTCAACTGATCAGTTTTAAAAAAGATAGATAGAACCGAAAAGTGTTTTTATATGGCGAAAAGAACAAGATTGCTTTCCTTAATCTCTGGCATCTTGATATGATTTAGTTGTTGTTTAATGTTGTAGTGTATGCGGAAGAAAAGGTTGTTACACTTCTTTATATTTGATAACTGTGATCTAAACAAGATGTAAAGCTCTTTTCATCAACACAAACAAAACAATCAAGCAAACAAACAGTCAACAAAACAGAAGCGTTATTTTGATCGAAATATGTATACAAACATTTCAACGCATACTCTTAATAATTGGTTGTTTTCATCTTCCATCCGTAAAATTGCTCATGATATACAGCGTGATTAAAATATTTAGTGCAAGATTTCGTCACGAGAGGGGGTGATCGCATTAAAAGGATTTCGATAGCGAGAGTGTGATTTATTCCTATTTTATGTTTGTCTTAGTTTTTCATGTAGAATGTTTCCCGCTGTCTGTATTCCATTAGGAACGACATAATACTTCATTCGTCCTATGGCAATAAAGAGAAACATTTCTTTGATAAGCGTGTATGTATCTAGTAAAGCTACCTTAAAACAATGCTACAGTCAATGCCCACTTCGTAATCCATTCGTGTGTATCGCCTTTTGCTGAAGATAGCGGCGATTTTTGTTTCCCTATCTTGATCGAAGAACGAGGAATATCAATAAAATGTGTTTAGACTTTACTTCGCCTACCTTAGGCATTTTTTATTGTTGTTGAACAAATGCCCAGTATATCATTCAGCATTATTGCATATTTCCCCCCCCCCCCCCCTCATGGACTGATTGCTGAATATATCGAAGATTTTCTTACCTTGTTTAAGGAAGGTTAGATGTGAGATGAGGACATCTACGTTGAGGTTGTTGGTCAGTCTGCTGAAGTCGTCTCTGGTCATCTTGCAAAGGTGTTTCCCGTCCATGTTAAACCTGGACACCTGGACATCCACCAGGGAGTATTCCCTGACCGCCCACTGGACCCACTGCTGTACGTGCTCAGCAGTCCACATGTTAGGGTCTGGGAAAGGAATGAAAAGAGGTATACACAAATGTGAGCATGTGGGAGTGATCTTGAAAACTTTGTGGATCTGAACCTCCTCGAGACAAGAAGAATTTAAAAGATGAAAATAATCTTATACTTTACAGTTGTATATACGTCTTATGTATCTACAAAAAGTAAATGACAGATACTATACAGCTTATTTCATCAAGGAAATAATTCAGTCATTTCTTAAAAAATAGTTTTAGAGTTGACAAGTGAGATATAATAAACCAAAACATAAGTTATTAACTGCGTCAGAAAACCTGATGCACAAATACATCTAAAGCAAACTGCACATAATTATGTAGAGTGTCTGTCTTACCCATGAATATATAAACCATGTAAAAATCCGTATATGGAACAAGCAGAATTGATCAGCGCGTATCAATAATCTTCGGAAGCGTGGACATACCAATACAATCTCAAACTAGCAATCGCTACTACATAACTGCTTTATAAAATTCTCTCAACTAAAGCTTGACTGATATTATCAATAGTCCGTTTTACTACGTTCTTTTTATCGTCGATGCATTATAATCATTTCAAATTTGTCGCATCTTGAAAGCCAGACTGCAATCCGTGTCTTTCAGAGCTAAAAGAAAACATTAAAATAAGCTAATACAGATTACGAACCTATTTTTGTAAACGTCCAATCGATCGCTGATATCGATCTCGATGTTCGTGAGAAAAACGTCTGCGCAAGTTTAATTTGCACATGGACAAGACATATTATTAAACATACATTGGATTTGGATAGGTAGGGTAATGTCTAAAATGATTGATCAACGTTTGTGCAAAACATTCTATCTATTGATATATTGATTTTGCAGGGTGTACTTTTCATATTCACATGCACCTGTTTGAAACGTCCTTCGGTATTGTATCGTGATCACTCAGGGTCGATATTAATACGATTTATGAAATGCTAGGAAAAGTTTATGTCTGCTTTGAAAGGGATTATCTCAGCTGAAGTTCATGTAAGTGAGAATCAGACACATCGCCGTAGCAGGTACATTATAGCGCATGAATTGGTTAATGTGTAGAAATGAAAATATTCCCTTGTAATTTTAGAGGGAAAGCATTGGTACCCACCAATGCCTCAGTAAGCCTTTGGGCATCAACAAAAAGTTGGAAAACAATCTCCTCACTAAAATTGTTTAAAAAGTAATAATTAACTTCTTTTGTCCGTTGTTATGTTCATAAATGAACTACAATTTGAAATGATACACGTATTTTGATATGAAACTTCTGCATATAATGTTACACCCCCCCCCCCCCCTCCCCCGCCCCCTCTTGAATTAAAATCGCTGCCCATGAAATACGATTTCAGTGCTCTAAATTGGCAACTGTTTTTCGGTCAGCCATTCCAAGAACGTACCTTCCCAAATTGAATACATACTTCTGTTCTACTTCTAAAACAGAAAACATAAGTTCGTCACCAGAGGCAGAATACAGAAGACGCGTGGGCCGTACTTCTGACTTGCCTGTTTTGTCAACACAAGTATAAATTTGTTTCGCATCCTGCAGTCAATTACGGTTTGATTCGCCAAAAAGACGACCTTTATGGAATTCCTCGCATATTTGTACGATTAATATTCATTTCAGGACTTTTGTTAAAATGCTGCTTTCCTCACAATAGTGACCAAACTAACCAGTTATAGTCTGGGATTTTCCTAGAAAAAGTTGAAACATTCAATCAACATGTTTAATATCACCTCCATATTAACCCCAAAATACATATTACTGTCGAGCTATCAACATGCAATAAGTTACAAAGTTGACGAAAAGTTTTGAATATATTTGTCTATGTTGGTTACTCTCCCTCTCTCTCTCTCTCTCTCTCTCTCTCTCTCTCTCTCTCTCTCTCTCTCTCTCTCTCTCTCTCTCAATAAATTATTTTGTTACATGTTCCATCTTTGCCTCCCTCGTCCACGCGCCCACGAGCACGGCGCGGTATCCATCAGGCCGACAGACACGGCCGACAATTGATGCTATTTCCGGTAAAGGTCTGCCACTGAGGGACAAGTGTCAAAACGAATTTGCTTTCCACGGTTCTCCCAAAAAACTTCGTTCCGTCAACTTTGGAAGTTAACCCTCTATTTAACTGTGATATTATTAGCCTGTAGCAAAACTGTAGCATGTTTACAGGTTTTTCATAGCTCGAACTTACCTTAAGCAGAGTGACGAAAAAAGTCTGATAAGTTTGACAAAGTTATTCCGTCTATTACTTAGTGCGAGAACTGAGTTAGGTAGGCCTAATAACGTATATTTTGTGGTCGGTGCCCTTATACTACACTAAATTATTTCCACGATATGGGATACTGTTGTATTGTATCAACAATGAATAATTTATCTCAACAAATGTTTCGATTTCAAAAATGTTTGAGATGTCCCACAGTATTTTTAGTTTAAATATTTGTTTTTGTCTTCTGTAGTCAAAGTACTCTCACCTGACTATTGTTATATTCACGTAGATTTTCTTCTCACTAATATTTTCTGATTCACAGCAAGAATTAAGCGCTTTTTCGATTGATATACCAATAAATGAGCATATCATACAGTAGAAAATGACATTTATGCAACCATAAACATGATACATACAAAATACGAAATGTTCATCAAACTTATATAATGCAAGAAATAAAAAAAAAACCTATTGAGCTTTCCATAAAAATGATGAATTTCGTCGTAGATTCTTTAATCTAGGTTCTCGCTTTGAAAGGTAAATTAAAGACTGAGTCTGAATTCTCTTTCGAAAATTACCGAACGTATATCTTCCACCGAAGAGACTTCCAATGCACTCTCTCGTCAAGATGATCTTCTTAATTTCTATGATTTCATTTCATTTGCTGACAATATACCTATTGGGAATTCCTCTGTGTCTAATTCAATACCGTCGATATTTTATTGCACGAATCCTCAATTTAATGGAATTCCCTCTACGCAAATTCACGACAATCTTTACTACGTTAAAACATATATCACAAGGATATTCATAAACGAATTATCCAGAGATAAGGATGAGTTATAGAGAGTAAGGTCACGTGATTGCCAGAAAGCACCGTGTTGTCATGGTAATTATACAAGTTTTCGTCACCCCAGTTGGTTGTTAGATACCGTTCTGTCAACTGTAATTTCAGGAGTTAGGTATGAACGGTCCCCAAGAGACCAAGTTGTAGCCGAATATCTGGACAACTAATTTTCCTCACTAACTTTGTTTGTAATTTTTATCTCCTTTTCCTCAATGACACTCACTTCTTTTTTTTCTTCTCCTTTTCCGTGTTCTCTTTTCTATGTGTTATAGATTAATATGTCCTTTCTCCAAATGACTAGCTTTTCCTATTTTCATTCCAATTTTTTTAATCTCTGCGTTTTTCCCCATTTAGTATTGGATTTTTACTGTCCATGTTAATGAAATTGAAAGTGCCCTTTTGAAGAAAAAAGAAGAACATTTACATCATGTATTACCGTGTTTTCCTACAAAACGGCACAATGGTTTTAAGTGTTTAATTACGTAATGAATAAAACTTGTATGAACTTTGTACATGTTCTCCCAAATATGAATATCATGGCTATATCGTCTATTACTAAAAAGAAGGGATCAATACCCGTCTATGTTTATAAAAGCACTTGCAGACGAACCCACGTCTATTCACGGCCCGCCTAGAACATCACGGGCATTACTCATAGCTGCTCTGCCTCTCCAAAAAGAAACTTTGTTTGTTCCCCCTTCCTCATTCTTCCCCCTTTTTATCCTTCATTTTCGAGACTTCTCAAGAATAGTGCCTCGACTCAGACTCTGTGTTTACATTTTGACTTTCGGCTTGAAAAATGACATCCTATTTTTACCCCCGCACGGCCCTCGGGAAACGCCCCGTAGGGTGCCGAGCGTCATTCGCTGTGAGCCTGGCCAGCGACTCGGGCTTGACATGGCTAATGGATTGTGAAGCGTTCAATGGGTATTGCATTGAAGCCGAGTACAGGCTATATGGAGCGTCTAATGCAAGGTTGTTTTCTGGAAAGTATTTCACGAAAAAACAGTTCCAACAACAGTTCCAAAAATGAATGAAATACACTTGAATGAATCACCTCTGTCTAAGTCTGATGCGTATGTTTTCACTTTTTCTTCGAGAAAAATTGTTTTTCTTACTATTATTTCTTCCTAGCTTCTATATTTACTTTTTTATATAAATATATATACCCATTTTCCCCTAGGTCTTATATACATCATCACATTTGTACCCTCACTATAACCCAAAGACAGGTAATAGTGTTATCGTTGATACCACTTTGAAAACAGCTACACCTAATATTCATTAATTACCTGTTGACATACAACCTGAAATTAACAACCTTTGTGTAAAATTTACACTTTTACACATTTTCTAAAACAGATTTCACAAAACATTCCGATGTATGCATACAAGTTTATAATGCTCTGCGAGGATATGGTTGTTGTTGCCATGGTAATATCATCTTTACCGTGCATATCAAAACAACCTCCAAAACAAACGAAAATAAACAAACAATAAAATACTCCCCCCCCCCCCCAAAAAAAAGAGAAGATGATGGGGTCTGTTGAGCGGTCGAGGTTAATTAACTATTCGCTGAAGAGTCTTTGCTATCGAGGAGGGGTAAGTCGGGAGGGAAGAGGAGGGGAGGAAGGGGAAGGGGAGAGGGATAAGGGAAAGGGGTTTGGTGATGCCCTCCCCGGGGCCGCTTTCTATCCCCATCTACCATGGGATAAGACCCCCTCCTCTAAGGAAAACAAAAAGGAAAAGGGGGCTATCTGGTAATCTGAGAGGGGGTTAATCCAGAAGGGGCGATGACGGAAAGAATAAGTTATCAACTATTTACTGACTTGCACCTTTAATCTTTGAGCGTTTAACAAGCCTGATAATAGTCTTCCTTGGAAGATATTTACCCCCTGTACTTGATGGCTTGCCTCACCCCTTTTGTAACCTTGTTTTCAGACT